AGACCTCTCAGTGTCTTGGATATTGAGCCCGCCAAGGAAACATCCGATCTTTGATGCGACTCTGCTCGATTTGTTCAAACCCTAGGAAACTCGATGTTGAGAAACCACATCGAGGATCTGTATACTAAGGATGGTCGACATATAGTGTGGCGTCGCTGAAGAGTGGTTACACTTGCAGTCACATGATGGTTGGCATCTGGAGGCTCTCTCAGACAGATGGAATGGAAGCCGGGAAACGGTCCGTCAATATCGGCTTTACGGTGGGCACGTTACGTCGCAAAGCCGATCCAAATGCCATATGAAATGCTTCCATACCTACCATGTCCTTCAACTCCCATTTTCGGCCTCGTTCTAGGCTCCCTTGCCGCTCGCTTCCCCAAAACAGCCCAAACGGCCCGGAGCCCGGTAGGTGGTCCCCACCTGCGGCGACGCCGTATCTCGATACGATGACTCCACGACCCTCCACGAGACCAGCGACCAGACCCAAAAAGCAGTGCCCCGAGGACATGACACCCACCGATCCCGTAAACGTCGTTAAAAATAGGCCGTCGCCAAGGTGACGGTTTTTTTTCTCTCTTTTGTTCCTTCCCGAAGCGCTGGGAATGACATCATCCCCCCGTTTGCGTGCAACTGATCCCCAACCCATCTTTGTGCTTAGGCTTTCGCGGGAGTGGGCGCATCTCCCGAGAACCTCCGAATTCATTCACCTTGACCAACTCTTCAATCCTCTCCCATCGCCAAAAAAAACCACTAGCTGGGTGAGAATGAGAACAAAAAACACAACCCGGCAAAACCAAAAACAAAAAATGAAAGCATCTCACACAAAACCGGCAGGCGCAACACAGTCCCTGCCCCCGTGTCCCTGAAGCCCAACCCCGCAGCAGCAAGACGGGAACGCGATGGGTTCCTGCATGGTCGGCCCGCGAATGATCTGGGCCAGGAAAGTTTCGTCTGCACAAGGTACGGACGGTAGTGCCGTGGAACCAGGGGCCCGACAAGGTAATTTGCGTCGGGTCGAATCGCGCATCGTTGAGCGACCTGATGGCGGCCCTTGTTAATTTCGAGGTCTTTTTCTCGTCATCTTCCTCGAGGGTTGGTTTCGTGGGGTGATGAGGGAGGACGGGGCAGGGGCGGTCATTCATCCGGAAGCGGGTGGTAAGGTGAGGTGAGGGTTGGATACGAGGCGAAGGCGAAGAACATGGTTGAGGTGTGGCGGCGAACGTTACCTCGCGAGGCGTGGCGTGAGAAGCGGAAAAAGGTTCTCGCCTCTCGACTCGGGTTTACGGTGTGGGAAGGGAACTTCACCAGCCTCCCTCGCTCCCTCGCTCGTGTCGGAGAGCCCCTCAACACGAGAAGCATCTGCACCAGCCATCGCGGCCCTAGGTCGGTGCGACGCGGGCCAGCCCTTTGTCCCTCGGCTCCTCGCAACTCTCCCAGCATTGGAAGATGATGCATGGTACACACATCCTGTTTGCAGAGCTGGGACTCCCCGGCTTTGTTGCGACCTCACTAAGTAGCACAGGGCTAGTATCAGGGTCGGAGGGTGCTGCTCACCTTTCCAGTGCCGTACCTGCCAGGTAGGTCTCTTATAAAGGGGGTGCCGACCGGACCCGGCGATCTCTCGTCTATCCTGTGATCCATCGTCCGTCTATTTGAACGCTCGCTTCTGGTCTGTGTCTGCCAGTCACTCGCTTGCTCGCAACACCCAACTCTCGCTCAAAACATCAACACCCGGATACCTTCGCCATGAAGAACATCATCGCCCTCACTGTCGCCTCGGCGGCCCTGGCCAGCGCCCAGATCACCCAGAACAAGGACGGCACCTTCACCTGCTCCACGGCTGACGCAGCCTACTGCGCTGGCGACTCCCTCAAAACCGATATCATCATCCGCTGCAACGGCACCGTCGGCCAGCCCGGCCGATGCGGTAACGTACGTCTCCCTCCTCCTTTCCCCCCTACACAAACACCCCCTAACACCCACCAGAACCTCGCCGGCCAACCCCCTCTCGGTGTCGGCGGCGCCTACTGCTACCAAAGCTCCCCCACCGCCGGCGACGCCGCCTGCGAGAAGAACTGCGTGGTCTACGCCCCCTCGGGCACTTTCACCCTGCCCACCAGCCTCTGCACCCCAACCTACACCGCCAGCTCCACCTCCAGCACCCCCTCGTCCACCACCAAGAGCACCACCAAGAGCACCACCAAGAGCACCAGTACCAGCACCACAACCACAACCGACACCACCTGCACCACCACCACCACCTCCCACAGCTCCAAGCCCACCGTGACCACCAAGACCGTCACCACTGACTGCGAGTCGACCACTACTCTCCACCATCCTACGTACTCTCACTACAACAGCACCATCACCACCAAGACTGCTACGCCTAGCGGCCCCACTAGCACCAAGCCGCCGCCGGTCACGACCGCGGGTGCGGCGAATAACCAGGCTATGGGTGGGCTGGCGGTTGTGGGGCTGTTGGCTGTTTATCTTCTTTAGGAGACTCGGAGCAAGTCAATCCCTACTGGTTAGGATTTAGTTTTAATGTCACTCTGGGAACGGGATGGGGACACTCCTTCGTTTGTTCATTCATTGCTGGATGGGATAGGATGGGTTGGTGTTGGTATCTGAGATGGGGTGAGGTGTTTGGTTTTTCATCTCCCTTCTTTTCAGGAGGAGCGAGGACGGAAAGGGGGAGGGTGTTCACTTCGTCATACACTTTTTAAGTAGGTAGTACTCACTCAAACGAGTTTTGGTTCGGTATAATTTTGTAATTCATCAAGGAGTAATTTAGTATCAGGACAAGGGGCCGGGCTTTTGGAGTTGGCATTTAGATGGGTGAACGGAATGGAAAGTGTGGGTTTGTTAATGGGGTGAAGAATGGTCGTTGATACCGTGACCGGAAGAAAATGAAAATGGATTAGGAGTAGGCACATTTGAGCTGAACTCGCTTGGTGGTTCTCTGGGACGTGGTGCTCGTTTTGTTTATTTCCAGTTTTGATGACGGTTTGTCCGCTGAACCTCTGATAGGTGGCCGGAAATATCCAGGGACTTTGCTAATCGAGAGAAGAAATAGGCGGTCGCCATTGGTATAGGTAATGACGGGAATGCCGTCCCAAAGGCAGGTCGAAGGTTCTGTCGTCAACAAGAGAGATTACAGAAGGACTCGTTCCACCATCCACCAAAACAACCCCCATCTTGAACCCTACAACCCACCCCCCGCCCCCGCTCCCGCAGCAAACCCCCTCTCCTCCTTCCACCACCCCCTAAAAACCCTCAACCTCTCCGTCCTCTCCCTCATCAACTCCCTCCCGACCCTCGTCTTCGCCATCCCCTCCAGCCTCAGCAACTTCTCCTCCACATGCTCCATACTCTCATCCATCGGCCGGCCCGTCTTGGCCCCGCCAAACGTGAACATCCTTCCCAGCCCGATGGCGCCCACGGCGTCGAGGCGGTCTGCGTCTTGGACGACGGCGAGCTCGGGGTGCGTGGCGAGGACGGAGAGGGTGTGCGCGGGGTTTTTGACTTCGGTGGAGTAGGAGACGGCGAGGCAGATGGTTTGGATTTGGGTGGCTAGGGTGGGAGGGGCGCCGTGGAGGAGGAGGAGGGAGGAGATGGGGGTGGGGGAGGAGGAGGTGGAGGAGGGGTTGGCGTACCTGGGAGGGGGTTAGTGAGTTGAGGGCGAGGGGAGGGAATGGTGGGAGGGAATGATGGGAGGGGAAGAGTGACGATGAGAGGGGGGGAGTGATGATGAGAGGGTATGGTGAGTGCGTTTGCGACGGCGGGTAGATAGCCATAGCCGGTGAGGTATCCGCTGGCGAGGTATGTGTAGATTGGTGAGCGGTGAGGAAACTCACTTGCGATCGCCAACATCATGAAGGAGGGCAGCCAGCTGAATAACCCGCAAGTCAAGCTCGTCTCGATTCTCCGACTTGGCGTAAATGTGCCGCGCGAGACCGACTACGCGCAGAATGTGACTCCAGTCATGCGACGCATCGTAGTTCGCCATGTAGTCCTTCACATACGCCGTCACCGCCTGGACAAGCGGGTCGTCGGCAAACGTGTCCAACTCCGATGTATCCATCTTTTCTGCTCTGTTTGCCGTTGCGCGTGTCTTGCAGTCGAAAACCACAAAAATTCTCACGACCTTTTTGTTGTCTCAATCATCACCCGTCCGATCTCAGTCGCAATAGCGGTGAGTCACGAGACTGCGGGGCTGCAGGCAGCAAGCCTCCATCGTTCTTTCCATCTCAGCATCTCATCTCAACTTTTGAGTCCAAGCTTCAAGTTCAGTCCCAACATGGCAGGTCGAGCAAGAAATTCGCGATGTGCGAGGAACGCCCCCCTTGCAAACCACGTGAAGCCCAGATCAGGCACAAAAGGAGCAAAGCCATCCATCCCGTCCATCCCGTGCGGAGACGGTGCCTGGCGGCGGCTACGGCCATACTCTACATGAGAAATTCCAGCGCAGAATTAACGCCGGTCGGCTCTCTCGTCTGTCTGCTGAAGACATACATCCGCAGCCGCCACACCTCGGGAGGTATGCCACCAAAGCACGGGTGAACCAGTCTATGTGGAAGCGCCGCGCCTGTGCGCAGAAATCAATGGCGCCTTTTGCGGCTGTCGTGTTGGTCAACGCGGTGACGGCATGTGGGAAGTTCGGGTCGGCAGTCTGGACCGTCCACTTGCAGTCCTGACCCGACTCTCGCATTGTGGCTGCCTCCCACCCATGTTGCTCGCGACCCAGTGGGCGGCCCAGTCGGTCTGCATCTGGCTAGCAGTGATCCGGCACATCGGCCTCACCTCCATGCTGGGTACCTTTGCACACCTTCACTTGGATCTTGATCGACGATGCATAGCAAGTGAGGTTGTAGCGCTCCATCTGCCATCACCGCATCGCCAGCGCGTAGGTTGCTGCACAAATCATGTCATGAAGGCTTCTCAGCGGGAACGTTACAAATCGCCAAATTCACATCGGCAAAAGCATCAAATCAACACACGGTTGTATAGTGTAGCGGTTATCACACCAGATTCTGATTCTCCAGTGTTCTGGTAACCCCGGTTCGATTCCGGGTACGACCTCTTTTTGCGCCTTTTCAAGAGCAGAGCAGCCGAGAAAGGTTGAAGAATCCACTTTTGAACAAGCCGGGCCCCACGGGGTGGGACGGACCTCACCGTGAGCCGCCCGGTGTTGATGGATATCTGGGTCTAAGTGACGGTGTTGGCGTCTCCTTTGCCGATTTGCTTTTGCGGGTTACATTTGGCCAAATGGCGGGTGGTTCGCGCGATCCAAGCAAATCTGGTTGCACCGCTCCGATGAGCCTTGGGACTCTTGAAGCGCCTTGTAGATAGACATGCATACAGAGTCCGTAAGCGTGTCCGGGCGTGCAGTTCCTGATCTGATCTGCAATCCATCTTGGAGGATGTCGTATGGGTAGATGTCGACACCAGGCGTTGTGGCTGTCGAGATGGAGGGGATCTCGCACGTGACCACCCAACCACGCCTTCAAGAGTTGTCGACAGCGGGATCGACCTGCAGGATGGCAGCCATCAGGACCCACTGGGCGGTAAAACTGGCCGCTTGCAGGGACTGGCTCGCTTGACGTAAAATCCTGGAGAGCTGATCCGTGAAGTGGGGGCCTTGGGCGGCTATTTTCAAGCACGGGCCAGGGGTATCCCACCCCCGCCTTGACCACTGAGAGATGTGCGCGGACTCTCCCATATCACATCGTTCCGCGGTCCACGGAATGAAGTCAAGGCACCCGGCGCCTCTGCGCTTAACAACGTTCCGGCTCGCGTGGATCTGATCTGTGATCTGGCACTTGGCGACGCGATGATGCTTCGAGACGCTCCACACGTATGGATGGTGGTCGGTTTTCTCCGCGGTCAAGCTTCGGCGTGAGGTGATGGTGCTGAGCTACCCGCCGGAGCTAATATGCTTTGCAGATACTGGGCCGCACCTGGGCCTCGTCTGGGTATATCGGAGAGCTGACATCGGAGTCCGCTGTGCACAAGGAAGTCTGGCTGAGGAGGTTATGCTTGGAGCGATGTGATCTGAGGCCGTTGGACAAGACCGAGAATCTGGGGTGCGTGGTGCCGGTATGCAAGTCCAACTCTCTCCCAGGTTGCCGGCTTCTGCCGTGTTCTCAACAGGGCATACTGGGAACAGAAATTCCATCTAGTCGAGTTCCGCTGCCACAAGACTCGGCGAAGCTTCACAAGCTCTGATCTGCCTGTCGTGTATGTTGTCCTGCTGTGTCCTCTGTCAAGACCTCTGCGTGGGCTAGCGAAAGAAGCAACCATCCGAAGGGACGGACTTGTTGATGCCACAGTTAGCCAGTCAGCGTCGGATGCAGACCCACCGCGTGTTCAACAATGCGTCTGTTAGCCAGCCTCCAGAGTCGTATGCGGCGATAGTGTTTTGCTCGCATCAAAGACACCGCTCCACAACTCCACTGGCAGCGCGCGATCGCACCAACGAGAGAGCTGACAGGAGCAGCAAAAGCGATCTGTCTCTTCTCCGCTGCTGCAATTTCAATGCAACGAAGACTGAATCCTCCGCGGGCGTCTGCGACGAGGCGGCCATGCGGGCCACAGCGGCCACAGTTCGAGAGACCCGGGTAGCGAAGTCGGATGCCATTGGCCGTGGCCGATGCCGTTCGCCCAAGGCTTCTGCGAATTGTCTGTGTGATGGGAGGTGCGCAAATGGCGCGAAATCGGGTGGTCGTGTGCCGTGATTGGCGAATGGCAACAGGGATCTAGACGCCGACCTAGTCCCGGCCAGGCTAGCGTGGTCAGCGATCACCAGAGCACGGACCACGGCATAGATAATCTGCGGGGCTGGTCCATCAACATCCGCCGTCGCCATCACGCTGCCACTGGCTGCGCTTCTGCCCGCTACCACGCCGAGCACGTCCACCTTCGCTGTGGGCTTCCATCTCGTCTTTCCCACCTCGTTCCAAGCTGCAGCCGGCCTGCCCCCAACCCGCCGCCTGCGCACCTAGCTCCAGCTTTTGCAGACAGACGCTTAGCCGCCCATGATGCTGCAGTCGCAGTGCAGGGCAGGCAGGTCCGGCTACTGCTGCACCTGCCCAACGTGACAAGGCCGACCACAGAGAGAACAAGGCCCCTCCCCTGCTCGGGTAACTCACGCCTGTTCGTGATATTGACTGCAGTCTGCGGGTCACGGCCTCCGCATCCCTCCCATTGGCCTCGCGGCGGGAAGGAAGCTGGCTGCCGTGAGCACGCAGCGGTCGCATCGGCTGGTCGATTGCTGGCCTGCTCGGTCGACCGCCCCTCACTTCCACCCATCGCTCATCAGCCAAGGGTCAGGTCCCGGCCATGGCCTGGGTAACCACCAAGGCTCTCGGTCGCGATCATATAAGGCCGGCCACCCTCCGACCTCTCCCCTCTCCTTTCTCTTTTTTTTTCTTCAGCAAGCCTCTAATCAACAAAAACCAGTGTTTCGTTTTCCTCTTCCCCCTTTCTTTCCTCTTTTTTCACAGAGCTGTGCTCTGCTAATTAATATCCAAAAAATCAAATTCGGTAGCTTGCTGGTCTCGCTACTTTCCCGTCCACCCACGACTATCCCACAAAGACAAACTCTGGTTTTTACTTGCTCGCAAACGCCCCGACGGTACACTACTTATCTCAAGTACATTTAATTTTTCCACACACAAATCAGTCAACATGTCGTCCACCCTTTCGTTTGGTCTCCGTGTTTCGTCTGGCGTCAAGACCGTCCACCTTCTTGGTTCCTGGGACAACTACACCGGTCAGCTCCCGCTCTCCAAGGACAAGACCTCGTCCAAGTCCGGCTCGTGGAAGGGCACCTTCCGCTTCCAGCCCACCGTCATCGAGGCTGGCCAGCGCTACTGGTACTACTACATCATCGATGGGTACCACGTCTCGCACAACCCCAGCGAAGAGTCCACCGTTGAGCCCACCACCGGCCGCACCCTCAACATCCTCGATGCCCCCAAGTCCAAGTCCTCCAAGTCTTCTTCTTCTTCCTCCAAGAGCTCGTCCCGCCACTCGCGCGAGTCGCACAAGTCCTCCAAGAGCTCCCGCCACAGCAGCTCCAGCGACATCCCCAAGGGCCGCCCGCTCTCCATCTCCCAGATCAAGGCCCCCAAGCCCGTGTCGCCCAATGCCACCCGCCACATCCTCGACGTCGACTTCGACGAGGATGAGCTGAACGAGCGCTTTGCCGCCACCGGCATCTACGACGAGTACGAGTACGCCGAGAACATCGTCGACGACTTTGGCCGCAGCTCGCCCGCGTCGTCCACCGGCTCCTCGTTCTCGTACCGCTCCGACTCGTCCAGCCCCAACTCGGATCTCTCTGGCTACAGCACCCCCGGCTCCGACTGCTCCTCGTGCATCTGCGAGCGCTACGGCATCACCCGCTCCGGCGAGCGCGTCCGCCTCGACTGCGGCGGCTCCCGCTGCAGCTACGATGACTCCTGCTCCTCCTCGGACTCGGAGCACGAGTACGAGAACTCCGACATCTCCACCCGCCGCCACGGTGTGGTCGTCCGTCAGTGAACGGCACGCACCCCCGCCTCGGGTGAGGAAAAAGAAGACACCCCCAATTCCAGGACTTGGAAGAGGATCGCGACCCCTGGTCCATCCCTCCAGGACACCCCACCAAGAACGTAACGACGTCCAGGGCCTGATCCCCCTCGCGAGGGGGATTGTGTTTCCTACGAAAACAACGGCCATTCCACTCACTTGGATACTTTCCGCGGCACGGGAAGCATACCAGAGTCTGGATCAATTCCCCCTCCACACCAAACAAGAGATGGTAATCTCCCGAGGTGTGTGCGGTGTTGGCGTTGCGAGGTTTTTTATAATCAGCTCCCATTGACAGCAGCCTGGCTGGCCTGGGTTCGCTTCGGCGGGCAGCTTGATAAAATAACCCCCCGCCTTCACTCGTACTTACCTTCTACTTCTCTTGGGATGCGGGATCCATTCTCGGTTTCTCCCCCCTGACACCGCACCACAGTGGGTCTACGCGGCCCCACGGTTTGCTTGTGTTTTGCACACGAACCGTGCTGTTGTTGTTGTGGCATTCTTGAGAGAAAATAATGTTACTGTAAACATTTTTTTTTGTTTCGTTTTCTGTCAAGCCTTGGAGTACCGATCCGTCTGTGACGGGTTGGTCTAGCTCTGGGAAATATTTGTCAAGATGTATATCTAGTTTTGGATCGGACTTGGAAAGTTCAGAACTGGCCTGTATACAATTAGAAAAGGGGAGGTTGGATGGGTAGATGACGATTGAATCTATTCATGTAAAGGCACTTCCTGATGATGTGATTGTGATTTGTTGTGAGATGTGCGAAGGGGGCTTCGCTTTGCGGGTCGTTGTTAAGGCTTCTGGATCCGTGATTCCCATGGATTGTCATTGCCATGCTTGTTGAAACTGAGCTGTACGGAATGAGTTCCTGTCCTTGGGTCCTGATATTGCTGGACGCAAATGCCTGTCTATGTCGCTCGCTATGTGATACCGGTGATACCGCTCCAATGCTGGGGGTTTGCCCAGCTGGTAAGAGACCTCTATAATTCTTCCACGCATTATCCTATCCAACAGTTGTTCCGTATGCATTTCTATACCGGAAAATGTGACCTAAAAGGAAATGTCTAGTTCGTTTCACTGTCTTCTCGACGCCCCCCTCCCCTCATATCCCGTCGCGACGCACAGCAGCACCCCATGCCGGCATGCTGTTGGTCAAGTTAGCTTGGAAGCGATCGTGGGGGTGTGGGGGATAAAGGACGAGACATACCACAAGGAATGAGTAGAGGGCAAACCCGGCGGCGAGCCACATGAAGACGAACATGCGCACGCCGACATAAGCGTGGATGTTAAGGTCGGATTGGGCCGTAGCCGCAAACTTGAATGCGAAGCTGATGACGCTGCCGATGATAGTGGCAGCGCCGACGAGCACGTTGGCGATGAAGGCGGCGATGGATAGTGGCATTGACCACCAGCGGGAGCGTATTGCTAATGGCGAGAGGAAGATCAGGACGAAGGTGAGGACTGCTCCTGTGAGAAAGAACCCAAACATGAGGTTGGATGTGAT